AAGAATGGACCCAGAAGTTAAGAAGGGCTGTCACTGGTCCTCACCTGCTCCTGGCCACCTGGGGTCATCTTCCTTCCACATCCCTCCCTCTGCAAAGTCTCACCTCCGCCACCTGTGCTTTTAGCAGTTCCCTCTCCTGTAGAAACAGCTGTAACTGCTGATCAAGGACTGCCTCACAGCGGCTTGAGGGCTGGAGGGTGGAGAGGGAGAAGCTTCAATCTGGAGAGCCTAGGCCATTCCACACAGCACCCCTAAAAAGGGCTAGGGCTGGGCTTCATACACAACTTGGTCAGTAAGGATCAAGACCCATGGTCTGAATTTTAAAAGAACTCAGTAAAGTTGGAAGGGAAAGGCAAAGAGATCAAATTTACAGCTGGCTAACAGAGGCCCAGAGAGATCAGATCATATTCTATTGTTATTCCTGTTGTTACTACGCTGTTGGAACCTTTATTGAGTGTGTCACCACATAGCGTGGTAACAATCCCATTTAACCTCACAGCCACCATGTGAAGCAGTTGCTACCATTACCTCTATTGGGTAGATGGAAAAGATGGAGTATTAGAGGTTAAGTGGTTAACTAAGGTCACTTAGACAGAGCTGGGATTTGAACACCCAGGTCCATCTGATCCTCTAAGTCCATTTTTCTTCCTGCTGGGGGTGAGGGCACAGACAGGAAGGGAGAAATTAGTCTTCTGCTCACTTTTTGAAAGGATGATACATTCTCATAGTCCAAAACTCAGAAAGTACAGAAGGGAAGTATCTCCCAGCCAACTGTGCTCTCTACTGAGTGTTTTACAAATCCTTGCAGACATGTTTTATGTATACTATCATAGTACACACACACACACACACACACACACACGCACACACGCACACACACACACGTTTCCTCTCTACACAAATGGTAACATACTAAAGCTACTCTTCTTTACTGTCACAGTACAAGTACCCAGTCTCCCACCTAGGACTTGGCCAAGGCCACAGCCAGGTAAGGGCAGGGCGGGCATTTGGCCTCTGAGCTCTGCATCCAGTGCTGACTCTCCATAGCGCCCTTCAACTCATCCACAGCAGCCCCAAGGGGAAGCTGGAGCCCAGGATTGGCAGCGTGGAATCAGGGGACTCCAGTGGACCCTTACCAATAAATCAATGGTGTTATTCAGTTCACTGGTTGTAACAGAGCTCGAGTCCAGGGCTATTTGTAGTTGGTGTGCGCTCTGAGGCACATGCACAGAGGACGAGTTGGGGGATGATCGGGGGAGAGGTAGAGAGAGCAATCATTAGGGTTGGGGTGTGTGGGGTCTGTCTCGGCTGGCAGAGGGGCACCCAGCCACTACTGTGGGAGGAGGGTGGAGGGCTGGCCTGCAGGGTCACTGTACCTCAGCTCAGGGCCTCTTACCTCTGGATCTTTCATGGTGGCACACGGCGCAGGGCCCTCCTTGGGACTACCTGCTGCTGACTACAAGAGATGAGAGTGCACATGGAGATGATCTGTCCCATCAGTGTCCAAGCCTCTGACTTCCTTTCCTCCCCATCAGCTGGCAGCACTTCCTGTTCTGACTCTCAGACCCTTTGTCCCATAACTCCTCTGTGCCAGCTCCTCTCATGGTGCTTATATCCCACCATCCCACCCTGAGGCCCTTTCAGTGACTCTTAAAGGGACAGCCTGACAGCAAAAGGCTGTTCTCATTGGGCTGGCTTCCCCTTGAGATTGGGGATGACGAAAGCCAAACAGCAAGGACCCTTTCCTGGGTGTCCTGGGTGTTTACAGCAGGCCATGTACTAGGGATTAACAAAAAAACAACAGCAATAACGAATGTCATTTCACCTTCAGAAATGGAAGTCAGACAATACCACCTCAATTTTATAGATGTGAAAGGAGAGGCCCAAAAGGCTCCAGCAACTTGCCCTAAGTCATATCCCTAGCAGATGGAGAGGCAGGATTCAAACCCAGAATTCCTAACCAGTACCCAGTAGTTCTTCCACAATCTTAACAATTTCCCTCTACTGCCCCTTGGGCCTCTTTTACCCAGAAGCCTGGCAGGCCAAGACTCACATGGCATGGTGACTGACAACCATCAGAAGTGCCTGTCTCAAGGCTATTGTTGTTTCTTTTCTTTCTCCGTCTCACTCGTGTTGGAACAGCAGGGCTGTTGCTTTGTTGAAATTCTGCTAACTGTGGGAAAAAATAGCAGTAATGCTCATGATAACTATAAACCCCTACAGTCACAGCCGACGTTACAGTTTTTACAAAATACTGTTACACATCATCTGATTTAATGCCACCAACAACTCTATAAGGTGTGGTCACTATCAGTGACTGAGAGGGATTGATACCAAGGCAAAATTTTAAAAAATTTAAAAAAAAAAGAGAAAGAAAAAGCAATACTAGACCTTAACCTCACTCCTCTGACTCCGAGCTCTGGAATTTTGCCATGAATCAGCAACTGCCAGAGACCAGAACCACAGGCAAAGGTAGAAAACTCAACATGAAGTAGACAGGAACTGTACGCCATGTGGTTTAGAGTCATACACCCTCACACGTCTGTTAGTGTTAAGAAGAGGACCAGCAACTCTCACACTTTTATATCAATGTGTCCTCATGGCAGAAGGCAGCCTTTCGTTAAATCTGGGAATTCATCAGAAAGAGGACAACCCAAGTCTCATTTCAGAGACACGTCTGGTATACTCTTAGAAACCGATGTGACTGTCATCCCTAAGTATGTTAATGTTTTTGCTGTCTCAAGATACTCAAGGGAAACTAATGCTTCTGAAAGACGTCCCATGTTTATCTCTTGGCATTCAAAGTAGCCTAAGTTGAGATGATATGAGGAAAATTCAAGCTGTCAGTTTCAATTTCCCAAGATCTATTCCACAGAAGATGAGCAGGTCTCACTCCAGAGGCCACTGACTGAAAGGCAGTGGTCCCAGAACCATGGAGAATTTGAAGATGAGGTGGAGAACTCAGAAAGAAATGTGAAAGACTCTCTGGAGAGCAGAAGCCTGAGAGAAAACCAAACCAAACCCATTCTCCCATTGCCACCCAGAGACACTGTCAACGTTTTGAGCTCACAGGGGAAGTGTAGGCTTTTCACACTGTCAATGTCTATGTTAAGGGAGTGGGGCAGCCTGAAACCTCTTGCTTCTAGGTCCCCCATTCCCCTTCCAGCTGGAAATTTGTGCTGGGACCAGAGGAGCCAGAAATGGGATGAGAATGCTTAGGGGACTGGGTCCTAAGTTCGAAGGTTGGTCTTGTAGCAGTAATGATGATTCCTAGGGACACCATGACATCACTACATTCCACTCCCCCTGGGGGACGGGACCACATCAAGGAGATGCCTGAGTCACTGCTCCATGATGTTGGAGGGGAATGCAGGGCTGAGACCCAGGTCCTTGGAGATGCCAGCCTAAGGAGCACAGGGAGGTCGCAATGGGGGAGCAGGAGGGGAGGGCAGAGTCTGCAGCAGGGATTCCGAGGAGTCACCAGGCCAAAGTCACCCAGAAATGACTGATGAGGGTGGGGACGGGGAGAACCAGGCCCTTAGAGACATGAGCCCACAGAGCCCAGGGAGGTCAGGTTTGGGGCAGGAAAAGGTGAGGCCCAAGTAGGGAGTGGGGAGCCTCAAGGGTTACATATCCAAAGTCACCCGGGGTGATTGGCAAGGGCAGCGGCTGGGCCCCTTGCTGAAGGGGTGGGGCTGACTGACAAGACGTTGGTAGGGGGAGCCCAGAGCCACCGGGGTTGGGGGCTGACCCAGTCAGGTGTGTGTCAGAAGTGTTATGGACTCTGGCAGCGGTCTTGCTGTCTGAGGGGATCTGTGTGCATGTTACCTTTTTCCTAGCTGAGGCTAATTTCATCTTGCGAATTTCTTCTGACATCGCCATGGTGGGTGGGGGAGGGAGGAGCAGTTGGGGAGGGAGGTGGGGTTGGGGCCACATCAGCACAATTCAAGGGAGAACTGGTAAGCAGCTCCACTCTCCTACCAGGCAGCTGTGTTGACTGATCCAGAGGACGTGGTAACCAGGCCCACACTAGAATGTAGAATAGGGGCGTGGCCTTCGTGCTCCAATCCCATTGGTCAATGAAAAAGAAGAAAGGGAAAGGAGGCGTGGCCAGGCAGCAGCAGCTCTGGAGGGACCTGTGGCATCCCAAGGAAAGCTGCCCCTGCAACTCCTGTCCCCTCCCACTCTCAGTGGGGAGGGACCACCCACTCCAGGAGAGAGGGGGCACCGGCTTTTGCTTTTCAACCTTGAAAGGTACCAAAGCATGCTGCCCTATGTTTGAAGAGGTGACCTTATGGGGAGATGACAGTGTGGGAAACAATCCTGCGTAGGCCGAGGCCTCATGGAACCCAGGGTTCCCTAGGGCCAGGAGAGCACTGGAGTTCACCCTGACACCCATTGGAAACCTGAAATCCACACCTGCAGGAGATCAGGAAAGGGGTTCAGGCTCCAATGCACCTGCAGCCAGGTGAGACAGGCACAGGTGGGCGCCAAGTAGATCTCCTGCCTGACCTTCCTCTCCTGCCTCACCCAAGCAGAGGAGAATTGACAGCTGCCCATCAGCCCATTGCCTAGATTGAAGCCACTGAATCTGGATCCCAACAGGCCCAAGGCAGTCCTGTCTCTGGTGAGGACCTGGCAGACAGATGTGATGTTCCCAAGTGGCTCTATAAATCTTATTATGGATAATCAAGGAAATGGGCAAGACCATCATGCTCAGCCAAGAACCTGGCAGGCAGGAGGGAAACAAGGGGCAGACAGAAGTCAGTTTGGTTCCAGGCCTGGCCCTGGAAAGGTGGTGGACTGGGGGCAGCCACAATGAAGGGGAACGGATGGCCATGGGCTGTGTGGCCAAGGCTGTCAGCTCCTGAAGCACCTGCAGAACATCTTCCCAGGCCTGGGTCTGCACTCAGGCTTCTGCATGGAGTCACAGGTGCCTGGACAGTGGCCTAAAGGAGGGATGGTGGAAGGGAAGGCACTTGTGGCCACATGTGGGCACCTAAGCATGGGACAGAGGGGCATCATACCCCAAAGAGATCATACAGGCCAAGAACTCAAGCAGATGTACCCCCTGGTCCTGGGTTACATCAGTTAAGTCAGAGCCTGTCCTGACCCTGAAGCTGCAACTCAGTCTAGTTGAGACTCATAAAGAGATGTCAGTGCAGGGCAGGGAGCCCAGAACAGCCTGCGACATCCAGCAAAGCTCTGTGCTGGTCAAGAATCTCTGAAGATGAGTCCAGGTCAAGGACAGCTGTGCCTGACAGGGAGTGGGGGAAATTCCCAGGGGCAGGAGGGCTGAAGACCTTTAACTAGGTGGGATGTCAGATCTCCACGTGCAGAAGAGAAGGTGACATGGCAGCAACTGTCTGAGGCCAGGCTATAAAACTAGGGACCACCTTGTCTAGCCTAAACCATGCTGCTGCGCAGTCAACATCCTTCAAATGCCAGAGGCAGGGCTGGGAGGGCCCCCAGACCCCTCTTCCCTCCCGACCTAAGCTGGTTCTCATCCCTCACTACAAGGAAAGTGAAGACTTCTATGGGTCACAGACTGCCAGGTATTCTGTCACCTGGTGGAAGGGGCCAGGGAAGCTGCAGCTGGGTGAGGAAGAACCCAGGTACCAGAGCTAGAAGGGCTTTGGGAAAGCATTGAACGGGGCCAGGTCCTGAGCTCTGCCTGGCTATGGTGACTCTGAGCCAGGCAACCCTATGACAGTCTCAGTCTGTCACTCTGTCTCACGGAGGATGTCGGCATTATTACCTTTGGAGTCAAAGTAGGTAATCCAGGGAAATCAGAGTTCACAGTGTGAAGCCCGGACAGCCGAGGCCCTTGCCCTTCAGGTTACAGGCATCTGAGTCCTTGTCTAGATCCTCATATGCCATCCAGAGACCCAACCCTAGGGACAATTCCTCCCAGCTGCTAGCAGTGAGTCAATCCTCATACTCACCCCACTAAAAGCTCTGAAATGAGGAGGCCTGTGGGTGAGGGTGAGACTCTGCAGGAAAAGGTTCTCAGTGGCAAGGAAGGTTTGAGCTGGGCCTTAGGGTAGCCAAAGGGACAGGGGACAGGCCCCCTCACAAAGCACGACAGGGAACACAGGAGGGCTGCATGTATAGTGGTGGGAACGTTTTGGAAGATGGCAGACAGCATCCCACTCACCGATGGGGCTTAGTGAAGTCAGGTCCACACAGCAGAAGCTGGATTCCACACAGGGGTACACTTTGTTTCTTATTTTAGAGACACAGTTTTGCTCTGGTGCCCGGGCTGGAGCGCAGTGGTGCAATCATAGATCACTGCAGCCTTGACCTCCTGGGTTCATGCAGTCCTCCCACCTCAGCCTCCTGAGTAGCTGGGACTACAGGTGCATGCCACCATGCCTAGTTTTATTTTTTGTAGAGACAGGGTCTTGCTATGTTGTGCAGCCTGGTCTCAAGCGATCTTTCCACCTCAGCCTCCCAAAATACGGGGATAC